CAAATTAGTTGGCATAAATCAGTTAAATGACGAAAAATTAGGTGTGTATTTACTTGTGACCACTCAGTGTACATTAGCTGCACAGTTTTGTGAACTAATCTTATGCAAAAACTTATAATAAACAGTAAATGCAAGAAATTTTACAAAAATCTAAAATATTTACTAATACTTACCATTACACTGCTCGCAACACTCTCCGTGAAAAGGATTGGGACAAGTGACATCTGGACAAGGAAGAAGATGGCAGACAACATTACCATCATCTAAACAGACACACTGCCTGCACGAATTCTTTGAATCTGGGAAGGTTTCTTGAATATTATAAGTTTCACCATTATGCTGACAGTTAATAATTTCAGGACAAAGAGGACAGCATTGTTCAGGGGAAACTGAAGGGTTGGAACACTTCAGAGGAGGGCATACGGTAGTGACACAGGTAACGGCTCCATTCTAACAGGATATCATAAACAAAAGTACTCAGCCATGACTACTGTTTCTTTAACTATACTATACTTAATTTATTGAAAATCTTAAAAAATAGCTTCATAGTTACCTAAATCTTTGTTTATAAAGTGTACATGTCATAACTTTTGCTTTTACATTTGTTCTTAACATACAGCAATCAAACAAAGTAGCTTTTTTTTAACATCACGTTTATTTGATCTTGTTTTTGTACCACAACCACATGAACATTAAGACTATACGGTAAATGTATTCCTCAAAACAGGCTCTTCCCCAGTTTACCACATTTCTTAGCTTTTCTGCAACAAAATGTAAGTTTTATTCAACCATAGATGTCTAATTCAATGGAACATCCTGATCCAGCATCTTTCAATTAACAAATAATAAATAATTGGCAGGATTTACAAGAATATTAATAATAATGGTACTACATATAAATTTAAACTTATTTGTAATACAGCCGTAAACCATTAATATGTTAAAATTTTAGTGTTTTTTTTTGGGGGGGGGGCCTTCTGAAAATCTGCCTAAGTAATATAGTAGCTTCTCAGCTTTAAGGATTATGTATTAAAAAAAATACATGAAGGTACAGTCAATCATTTATGAACCAGATATTACAGTAACTTTATTATGGTAATGAATGAAGTATGAATTTCACTCTCTTATAACTAGAAAAGACTACATCTTTATTCAGATATATTCATGTAATATTTTTTTTTAAATTTCATGCAGTTTCCGCATGTAGTTGTGACATTCTCTTTGAATGGATGTTTCAAGGTAAACATATTAATTATTTTACACAAGTAAAGACTACATACTAGAACCTTTGTTTTTAAGTGTCAAGTTAGCATGTACGTGTTTCTATATGGATTTCTTGGAAAGTGGCCTATTGAAACATGTGATACAAAAACATACACACCTGGTTTGGCTTAAGATTTTGTATAGAAAAGTGTTTGGATTTGGAGTATGTAATCTTTGAATTTGTGAAATATCCATCATTCCTTGTTTCATCTGAGTATTTAAGTCAGGTATTTCCAAAATTTTGTCTATTGATTACACTCTCATGCTCTAGATTTTCTTCTCATCAACCCCAAAAGGTAGACAACATAGAAGAAGCCCAACTAATCCTATGTTTATGTCAAATAAACAATTTTTGTGTTTCAACCTACACTTGTGTTTTTCTTGTTTTTATTTACTGTCTGTGTTCCATTTATTCTTAGCTTAACTGTCATGAATCTGAGTTTTGCATTAACTTTTGGCTTTTCTGCTTGAACCTGAATATCATGTTATTATTTTACTGTCCTCCAACTCGTAGCTACACGCCCGTTTGAAACTATATTTTCTGGTTTTTACAGTCTTTATACCAAATTCTAGATCTCTAATTTCAAGGCTTGCACTAACACAAAGTATTTGAAGACAAATAATACTGTGGCACAGTATTATAGTTGTCTATATCTATAAGGTTTAGGTAATACTTCAAAAAAAGGGTGGAAGAAATCAAGTTATGCTTAAGCAATTAAATGTGCTACCCAATAAATTAGCTAATTAAAATATTGAACTGAATTATATGTATTATTTTTCAAGGTAAAATATTTTGATATTATGAAATCAAAGATAATTTCAAATTGACTTAAATGAATATCAGATGAATGATATTGTAACCTTAAAAATATATTAAAATTTCGTAATAAATAATCCAAGCAACTGAAGACAAACATGTCCTTGTTTTTGAATTGTACTAGCTTTAGATGTAAATAAAAACGTATTTCAAGGTTAAGAGTTATGAATCAAGTGTTGCTTAATTAGACTATGGTATAATGTTTTTTTTACATATATTATTCTTACACATTATTAGAGTATTTTTGTGTAAATTTATTCATAAAAATAAAAATAAAGACTTATCAATGGGAGGACCAAGAAAGAGGAGACATTAACAATCCATGAGAAATAAACAAAACAAAAGACGCTTTAAAGAAGAAAATAAAAATGTGTAAACACATAAAAAGATTAAAAAACCAAACCTAATTTTTGCACTTGCTTGATTTCTTCCTTTTGGAAATGAGTAAAAAGATCAGAGCAACACAAAATATAATACCAAAAGTGACTACAGAGATGGAACTCGAGGAAAAAAAGCTCACTCTGAATACGAAAATAAACAGAAAAGCCTGTTACAACAAACACAAGATGAATTGTTATCAGGTTCTGTAATAAAAAACTGAAGCTGCTTGAAAAAATAATTGGTATAACTTGCAAAGAGATGAATTGTGCATTTCATAAGGAAGACTGAAGTCTATCTAATGAGTTGTTATTTTGCAGAAACATAAACCGAAAATGTACAGTAGTCATCAGAAGTGTTAAATACAAGGGAATGAGAGACAACTTTATATTGTGGAAACACAAAAGAAGTATTTGAAATAGTAGGACTTTCTACCTTTAGACAAAAGTCTTACAGTTAAAGCAAAATACAAACTTGGAATTAGAACAGCAATATTCAACCTGAACAGAACCTTATAAGAGTGTGGACTAGATGGCTTGGTCAGAGACCTCTAGCTTTCAGATGCAGCCATCTATAATTTTGAAACACTGACCAGAGGAAATGTAGCCAATAAGCATCACCCACCACCACAAGGACTTTTTCTGGTTCTTTCAAATGAATAATTAGATTTACTGTCACTCTTATAATATGATGAGCCCACAGCTGAAAGTGCTGAACATGTTCAGCAACATCACGTCCTGAATCCTGGACACTTCATTCTTGAGCCTGACACATTGACAATTAGGCCAACTCCAGTCCAAAGGTACAAACATTAAAAAATTACAGTACTGAGATGAGTTAGGTATCATTGTGTATTTTAAGTAATGACTTTTTAAATATAGTATCTTGGCCTTTATGAATCTAACATTATTAATCATTAAAACAATTATGCATTTCTGATACAATTGTTTGTAGCTTTTTAAAAGACTGAGAAAATGAAACATTGTATTTCATTGTTACATACATTATTTCCTTAAGAGAAATATGAAAAAAAAATTACCAATTACACTTAAAGTCTATTAAAACTTTCTTCTGATGTTCAAAACTTGTAGAATCAACATACTCTACAATTTTGTAAATGATTATATATGTATTAGTAAGGCCTGTTTTTCCCAATAAACTACCAAGGAGAAGTAAAAATAGGAATTGTGGAAAACATAAAAAAAATAACTCACTAAATTTTTCAATGTTTCATACAGCTACATGTATAGAAAGTAATGTATATGTAAACAATAAGGTTCAGTTGCTTCCCCTGAGGAGTGTTATGTGTAACTATTGAAAATGTCATGTAAGATATATCAATATTTTCAAAAAGTCCACAAAGTATCTCTGTGAACTACTTGTACCTGAGAATGACAAAATCTTGTCAAATTGTCATACATTTATAGTAGTTTTTTCACTACTCAGTCAAGCTGTCTCAAACCTTTTGTTACCTATAATAGATTTAGGACTAGTTAGACTTAAGTAAACAGGCTATTAGATTTTAATTCTGTAACTTTAAATATATTATATGTATATAATAATGCAAGGATTTTAATAATGAAGCATCACAACAATGTTACTTCAAAAACTGACTTATCGAATTTCCTAAGTGGTAGCATTTTGATTTAGTGTTTATTATTATACTTCTATTATAAAGATTGTTGTGCATTGTTAACTTAAAGATATGTATGACTAACCAAAATCTCTTAACCCAAACCTCAAGAGATATTACTGGGTTTGTGGCCAAAAACATTGTTAACAGCAAGGGTACCCAACTGATGAAACAAAAAATTCTAATCTTTATATATAGAAACATAAGCAAAGTACATATAATTATCTATACTGACAGCCAGGTTGATTTTGAGTTGTGATCTTAGTACATAGCTTACTTTGATTGGAAATTATTATTATTTATAAACTAGAATTTCACTTACTTGACATTTACAAGTCTGACAGGGATCCCCAAGATGAACAAACTTCTGACCATTGCGATATAAACGTCTAGTAAATTGGCAGTGTTCACAAACTGGGCAGCATTCTCCATATGGAGCAGCAGGGTGTGGACAAGGAGCTTCTGGACAAGGTCTCAGTTGACACTGGACTTGTCCATGCTAAGAAATAAGATGATTAATTTATTTACAATGACTTAGATATATATAAACAATTTGATAATTTCTATTAATTAATATTCCCTTTTTTTGGCACATCTACACAACAATTCTCTACAGTGAAATGGAATAATAGCTACCATTGATGCAATGTTGAATTTTGATGCTAGTTAACCTGGAATAAATAAATGAATGATAACAAGCAATAACATAGGTAACTGGTAACATTACTCCAATTCAGTTCAAAAGATAAAAACTATACATATGTATCTCAATTTATCATATAAACTTCACTAACTTGTCTTCTCAGTAATTAACTTAATGATCACATTAGATATAAGTATGTCACATTATAATGAGATACCTATCGTTCTTAGAATAATTTCAGCCCATGCAGTTTGTATTGATTGCTTAAAAGGAGCAAGACACAATTTTATATTTAATAAAGCTGGAAATCAAACTTGCAGTTCTTAAAAGTTAAAAAGTAGTATTATTTTTTTATATATATTTAATTCAAGGGTACAGAGAAAAAATATTACTACAGTAACCATACAAGTACATTACACATAACAAATTCATAAGGATATAAATTTTGTTTTACTCAGTTGTTAGTGTAAAAACAAGAAATACTGAACATACAATACATCTACAGTCTTGACAATTGTCATCTGGGTCTGTCCAGATATCTCCTTCATGTTTAGGTGATCCATGAACATTACAGGAAGTTGCACAAGAAGGACAACATTGGTCTGGTAACATAATGGGGTTCTTGCATATTACTGGAGGACATTCTTTTCTGATACAAGTTATAAAACCATCCTATGGGAAAACAAAAGAATAATATATATGTGTGTGATGTTAGAAAAACATGTAGGTTCAAGAAGTCCCATTCCCAGTTTGCCCCTGAAGAAGAAAGGTCCACCTTTCGAAAGTGCTTGGGTTATAGGGTTTTTATTCATATATATGTCATGTTTCTTTTAGAGTTATCAGCACATCCTACTTAGTCTACACCCATGGCAAAGAGTTATGTCATGTCAAAGTAATGAATGAACCTGCATTATTTAATTTTCAGTGTATGTAAAAATCAAGTTTTTTTTTTGTTTTTGTATTTGGCTAACACTGGATTTGAGGCACCAAAATACCTGGACAGTTTACATCTGAATAGGCTTCTTGAATCTCTCTCTCATCTATTAAACATATGTTCATCCCTTAGTTTAAGAGATTCTAGAATAATGAAGTTTTAACAAGCTTCATTCATCATTACCATTGATCTTCATTTGTCATATAGTATAACAATGCTTTCATTGTTTTCTTTGTGCAAGTTATATTCAGGAGGTTGACTTTTTTCAAAGTGTTATTTCAGGTGATGGCTTTCTGTCATTCATTCCCTGTACATAAGTAATTCCTTTACCCAACTATCACTAAAATTCAGTTGCAGATTAGGTCATAATTCAAACTGTTTATTTTTTGTTTTCATTAATGAAAGTTCATTGATCTGATCTTTTAACAACAGTTAAGTCAAGATGTTAGTAACATCTCTTTCTTTTGAAAGTATGGTAATCTATTTATGAACTTAACAGATATATCTACTTAGGCCTAGAAAAAAAAGCTTTGTTTCCGATTACTTGACTGACCTTACATAAAAATGCCTGACCTTAAAGTTTTTCAGCGTTCTCCCCCCCCAAACAAATTCATCTCCTGACTGACCCTAATGAAAAACACCCTTGATTAATTTTTTATTTTCATTAAATGATTGCACCAATCTGCTACCATATTGTGCAAAGTTAAAGTCATAAGAAACCACGTTGCTGATTCGTTAGTTAGTGTGGTGTGTCAGCACCGTCAGCCAATTATCTCTCTCAACATGGGTTCGTTCAAATTGATCAACCACATGACCATTTTATACTTGTTATAGTTTTGATACTACTAACTTTTAATATAGTAAGTGTATCTTCACAAAATTTGGTTGCCTTTCAGTAAACATTACATCCTTTATATATAAAAAAACAGATTTTTTGTGAAGTATTTTCACTAAAGATTTGTCCATGAATATAGTTTTTTTACCAGTCCAAGTGCAAAATGATTTTCATGTTAAGATTAAAAATACTTTGCTTCATCTCAAAAATCTCAAGAGTCATTTGCATAATCTCTAAAACCTCCTAAATGCATTTTCAGTAAAAATTTATATTTTGTTATTTTCTCCAACCTAATTCTATACAAGTAACCACCAAAAAAAAATTGAAATAAATCTAAATTAAACTTGTAACGATATACATCTATTTATACTTAAATTTTATTGTTTTATTGCTCTTTGAACCATGTTTAACTACTATCACACTATTATAAGTTGTAAATCACTTGAGAAACGTGCAATTCGCCTTATGCTATCGAATTAATTACCCATGAGCTACCCAGTATACATCCATTTATACTTAAATTTTATTGTCTTTTGAAACATGTTTAACTACTATCACACCATTATAAGTTGTAAATCATTTGAGCAATGTGTAACTCACATTATGCTATTGAATTACATTACCCATGAGCTACTCTGAGCTGCTAGCATGAGTGCCTTGTGAAAAATTTATAATATCATTATCATTTATTCTATCTAACCTAAAGAATTTCCTATTGTTACATTTTAGTTCTGTCTAAATAATAATTTTTCTGATAGTGCTTAGCATCTAAAACAATCTGATATATTACAATTGCATTTATATCATAAAATATGTATCTGCATTAAAAACAAATACCCCACCCACCTACCCTATTTTTGAGAACGTAAAAAAATTAAAAAATATAAATGCCTACCTACCTACCCTATTTTTTCAGCATTAATAGGAAACAAAGCATTTTTTTTCTAGGGCTTATTTTCTTTTAAAGCTACTAACTGAAATAAATTAAAAAGGAATTAGTTGTAGTTACCCTTGAAAATTTTAAGTTCTAAATTTTTGATGAGTATGACATACAGCAGACAGTATACTAATTACACATATCATCTTGTTTTGAAAGAATTTCAAACAAACACCACAAAAGCAATTATATCACAATAAATATTCTATGTGTTCAGGACAATTTTCATGACAGTATGTATAACCACTAATGGATGTGACTAATTTAAAGCAGATGATAATTATAATGAAATTTCAGTTCTTGAACAACAAACTCTGACAATATATTTTTTATGTATTTAATAAAAAATCAGCCAAGTTCCTATGTGTTTTTCACTATGAAAAAGTTTGAACAAAAGAAGGACAGCTAAACACAATTAAGTATACAAAAAACATGTCCTTTACATGCATAACCATGGTAGTAATAAATGAAATATTTATTAAATGTACAATTAACCTCATTTTTCTCAACTTTGTAAATTCGTATGGTTTATTTCAACAAGGACATCGATCTGGTTCTTATGTGTAACATGCTACGCTTAAATTGTTTTATGTTAATTTTTTTAAGGTTAGAACATTATTTGATAATGAGAACTAAACCCTAATTTGGAGTACACCACACACTATTTATTCTGTACTTTTCCAAAGATAGACTGAGTGATACAAAAAGAGCATAGAAATAATTTCACAACAAAATTTAATTAGTTCAATTGCTCAACTACATGTAAGAAAGGAAACCTGAACTGAAACGAATTTCATAGAAATACTTGATACCTAGAACAAAGCTGACAATTGTAAACTGAGTCCATCAAAGAAAATATAAAAAAAGGTTACAGTAAAAAGTTTATAAATTTAAATATTGATAAATATATATCACTTGAGGTTTAAATAAACTTTTCTGTGTATCATTAGTGACAGAATAAAAGTAATATTATTTTTCAACTCTTGATAAATGTGAGATAATCTTACCCTACAATGACAAACTACACAAGGGTCTCCATCTGGTGACAAAAACTCTTGATTATTCATATAGTTTCTCTGTTTATACTCACAGTCTAAGAAAGAAAGAGAATATTCTATTGAAGGAATAAATTCTACAAAAGGATAAATTATTTCTGAAAATCATTAAATTTCGTTCATTATAAAATTGCAGTCTTGACTAAAAATTAATAATCATATACGTACCTGTTAATTTCCTACATACTCCAAACACACACACACAAAAATAGAGAAGAAGACAAAATTATAATCACAAAATACCATTAACACCTGCATTAAAGTTTTATAAACATGTTATCTATATTATTCTGATATTCTTTAATTAATATTCTGGTTAATAATGAATGACTCTTATTATATTTAATTGATTAACTTCCTTACAAATGTATTCAAAATCTGTAACTTAAATACATGCTAAAACTATTAGTGAAGCAAGATATACAAGTGCTTTTGCTCATGAGTAAAATATCATCATAATATAAAATAATATAGAAGTTTTTCCTCACTGGTTTAATATAAAATTAGTTTTGTTTCTCCAGTCTTGATCAAAATAGTTAAGACTTAGACTTCTTGATTTTTAGTAAAGTACAAACAATTTCACCAAAATTATTTTTCCTTTTTTTTGTAATTTAATAATTTTACATGGAGAAATGATTATACGTACAAAAAATAACTGTGATACTGCAAATACTATTAAGAGGTGATTCAACAGAAAACAGTCAAATTAGGCTTAAGAATGGAAAGGTAAACACAATCACATTTGCATTATCTGAACAAACACACACATACAAACACTATGAGAGAATGTATGTATTGTACTTCAATCCTTTACAACATATTCAATTAAATTTTATTAACAAAAGTTAAATATTCTTTACTGGTAATTAATAATAAAAAAATCTTTACAAAGGTTTATTTTCTTGTGAAATTACATGTGCCACTTTTTTTTTATCAGCTAACCGACTCCCAGCTATGCTTAGATAGGGACTTTCTTTGGTTATTAGAACTTACTGGGTAAAGTTGTGCTTGAAACAAACTGTGAGCTTCTCCAGAGCTGACTGACAAAGGTTTGAATATAGTTTCTAGTAGGAAGTGTGTGTATGCATGCATGAATAACTGGGTTGATCAGTGGATCTGTCCTTTCATGGTCATGAATTTCTCTTTAGAAGTTTCTCAACTGAACATTACCAGATTGGTTTATGAATATGGACCAGTTACACTATTATCCTTCTGGTTTCCTTTTCAAGCTTCCCATAATAATTTGTTGAAGACTATGAACGTTATTTACACCTGCACTGAAGTGTTGCAGCTTTAGCTAGCTATCCTTGGATCACAGAACTGATTGTTCCCAACATTCAATTTTGATGTAAAGTAGCTTTCACGCTTGTCACTATCTTTTATAGTTTAGTATTTGATAATGTCTTGTATACTTTAATGCTTCCTACATTTACATTATTCCCTACTTCATTTTCAATATATGTATATATTGTCACTTTGTTAATTTATAATTAAAGAATTCACTAGTTATATAATGTTTCTAACCATGTTATTCAGTAAATGTTGGTTCAATTTATTAATCTCTTATTAATTTGATTATACTCTAAATACAATCATTTCGTTAATATGAAAAAAAAGTATTTTTAGGATTGTGTTTTTTTGTTATTATTTGTAATCATAGGATATGGCTGCTCTATCTTCCTTTTTTTTGGTAGGAAATAAATAAATTACAAAGATCATTAAACCTTACCATTGCACAAACGACAACACTGCTCCTTGCTTTTTGCTGGATGAGAACATTGAGGGTTACAGAGGTTTTCAATGTTTTCACATTTCACAATACCTTTCTAGAGAAAACAAAATCACAAAATGTTAAAAATCTGTACATTATAAGTGAGCATTAAGCAAATACGTCTGCTACTTTATTCAAACAGTAACTGACACCCTTTAATATAGTATCTAGAATAATGGCAAAATAGTAAATTACAATCAGTTTAAGTTGTTAAAAAATTTTTAAGAAAAGGTTATAAGTTACAAACTGTAGTATAAGTTTAGACATGCAAGTATTTTTATAACTTGTACTATTTATTTAAATGAGTATTTAGCATTCGAAAAGCTTGTAGCTTAATAAAGTACAAAAACTATATAGATTTCAACTAAAACAAATAGTGTTTGATAACTTGGCCTTCTTTAAAATTAACAAAGATTGAATTAGACTATACATAACAAAGTTTTACAACAAATAACTTGTTTGTTTTTAAGCATAGTGTGATTCATTTATTTATTACAGAATAATATATGTTTTTGTAATTTTAGAAATCCTTCTTTTCAGAGTTTAAGTTTACTAAATATTCAACCTAAAAAGAAAGTAAACAGATCATATTATGGGATGTTCAATACCCAATAAGTCACATCAGTTATATCAGCTTCTCTTGAAGCTTCAATATCTTTCTACAGTAATGTGAAATAACTTAGAAGTCTATTTCAGTCAGAGAAAAGTAATGAAATTTAAAAAGTGGAAGATGAAATATTCAGAATTAGAAACATTATATGACCCTAAAACGTTTTTCACAGCTTTTTTTTTAGTCAGTATTAGTACTCAAACTGCGAGGGAATGGAAGAGAACTCTGTTCCCATTGTTAGAATAAATGTTAATTTCATCCTCCTTGTTAACAGAATCATGTGCATGGGGAGAATGAGACTTCAGTGAATGTGGAGGCAAATGTATACTGATTTTCTCCTTGTGCAAATATTATCTACATCAACTTTTGGTAAAATTGTATTTTAGTCTACTCTTAATATATGTTTCATGGAAAGTTTATTTAAATTCATGGTCTAGCGAAACCACAGCCAAGGGAATGGGCTTGGAAAAATCAGCTAATTCATTTATAAAAGGGTACTTCAATCTCTAACTATTACTCTGAAACACAAAATAATTAATTTGGTCTGAGTTGTCTTTGTAATATTTTCTTTAGTACCAATTATATAGTACTGTATAGTACCAACTGGATAGTAACTTTTGTTCCACCCTGTATAATACACTGTGTGATTCAAATGTGGAAAAAAGAAACTTTTCAGTGCATGAGGTTGAGTATATGTATGACTTGTTTGTTTGCCATTATTTCTTTTTGGTATTATTGGAGCAACAAAGCAATCTGTACAAACTAGACGAATAAACATTTCTGCCAGGAAGATAAAGCCAAAACTTTAGAGCAAAATTTTAAATTTGCATTACTTATTTACCTTACATGTACAATTCAAGCAGGGATCAGAAGATGGAAAAAATATCTCTTCATCTTTATAAGTAGATCCATCATAGAGGCAGTCATCACAAACTGGGCAGCAGGAGCTTGCTGGGATATAAGGCCTGCCACAAGAAACATTTGAACATCGGACAGACTCACATCCAACATTACCTAAAAATGGTTCAAAATCAAGAACATCACCTCAAAATTTCTTTCAAAAAAGGTAACTTTTTGAAGCATTATAACAGTTTATTTGTTTCAAATGTATGAACAAAACTACAAAAAAATTATCTCATTTTTAAATGGCAGATTAGAGGGAAAAAAAAGTTAGTTGACACTTCCCACTCTTGGGCTACCAAAATAGTCAGATTTGCCCGTAACTCTTATAACACACCCATAGCCCTAAAGCATGGAGTGCAATTTCCTTTTTAAAGTAACAGGATATGGATTTTGGGCCCTCAGATCCATGCCCAGACTGACCATGTATATATTAAATCATCTAATTTTTGTCAAAAAATGTAAAATAGTTTTCTACATGTAGAATGGTTATCTATGAAAGTTAAGAAAAGACTTTGGATAAATGCTATAATAAACATTATGAAAGGCAAAAAAATTTTAACGTGTGATTCATAACTGAAGTGGTGAGAAAGTCCCACCAAAAGTAATTTCTTTGCTCTGGCTGATATTTAATGTATATGAATTATTTATAATTATTCTAATAGTCTTTGATTTTTAGTTATTATCTGTAGTTTTCAAAATATATGAAAGTAGATGAAACGTTGAATTATACAACAATGCTCTTTTCAGGTATTGAAATTCATTTTTTACTAAACATTATACAAGTAGCTATTTAATATTTGTGATAAAAATCTTGTTATTCTACAGTCTAACATGACTATTATCACAAATATTAGGCCTACTGGTTTCCAATGGTTCTCTTTAAGCACCCATCCTACAAACCTGGAATATAGACCTGTAACTGCAATAACTTTACTATACAAAAATAAATAATAAATATAATGTTTCTTGTATCTCAGTAATGTTTGACTTTCATTCTTGGTAGGAGATTGATGTACATAGCACAAGTTTAGCTATTAAATAACAATGGATTTAAAATAGATAAACATATCTTTAACAGTTATATTTAACATAAACTTGAATATCTATATTAATACTGTGTTTTTGTCTGGAAGTTTAACATATTAACTGTAAGGTAGGCATATAGATAAAGATAAAAATATCAATGAATTAATTTCTTGCTTTTACCACTGAGAACTCACCATTATAACAATAACATTTGGTACAAGGATTTTCTGTTTTGATTTCTGCTCCATGATGGTACACTACTCCATGAAACTGGCAACCTATCAATGGAAAAAGAAAAAAACTGCATGAGTTTATGATTGTTTGTGAATCTGCTTTTACCACAGAGAAAGAATCAAACTAACTACTTAACAAGCTGCACTATATCACACTGTAAAAATATACTATAAACAGGAACGTCGAGAGCCAGCACAGGCCCCGGGGCAAACATCTTTGCTGGGCCCTCTTTCTCTCTCTCTCTCTTTTTTTTAAATTTTCAAGAATTTATGAAGAAGAAGATCCTAAATTAGGTCAGCAACGAGCTCATAAACCAGACAAAATCATAGCAGCAGCCATTTTTATCTCACAGTATAACTGTAAAAATGTTAATAAAGTAACAGCTAATATCTATTAAATCTATAAAGTAACAAATACATATTAATTATTACTCTAATTATTGTTTCAGATCCTAAATTAGGTCAGCAACGAGCTCATAAACCAGACAAAATCATAGCAGCAGCCATTTTTACCTCACAGTATAATCGTAAAAATTTTAATAAAGTAACAACAAATATCTATTAAATCTATAAAGTAACAAATACATATTAATTATTACTCAAATTATTAGTTCAGTCGTTCTTAATGCATCAAGTGTCTATATGCAAAGAAAAGCCAAAAACAATGGTTTTTATCATTAAATGAAGATATAGCCTAAAGATGCTTTGTGGGCTTTAAGGCATAACCAGGTTTCATTTGCCCAGGCCCCTGTGCAGTGCCCCCTTTGCCCCCACCCCCTTTCAGTAGGCCAGACTACAAATGTTTGTGTATCTGCTTGTGCCAATGATGTACCTGAAAGTCTGTGTAAATTCTTGTCAAAGATCTATAGCAGAGCTTGTAAAAACATTTTAAAGATCTATAAGATTAGACATTTAGCACATCTCTACTACCAATTTCTTCTTTTATTTTATATTAATTTTCTTTTGAAACAGTAGTGACTACAAAATAATTCCATAGATTTTAATAATAACTTTTGATCAAGGCAAGCTACTTACATAAGTAAAAGCAAAATATATATACCTAATAATGAGCACATCTGATTAAGTATAGTGTTTAAACTGTATTACTTATAATTATTAGAATGCATTGCTTCATCAGTTGAGTACCTTTGTTATTAACAATACTGTCAGTTGTAAACCTAATAACATCTCATGGGGCTCAGCCAGCTCAGGAGAGTTAGGTTAGTTCTAAATCCATTTATTAAGCTAAAAATGCAGAATAATAATTATAATAAAATAACAAAAATTAATGATGTCAGAAAAACATGTAGGTTCAAGAAGACTTAATAGAAATGAATAAACACCCTATAACCTGAGCACTTTCAAAAAGTGGACCTTTCTTCTTCAGGGCCAAAAGATTAAATTCGATTAGAAATAATAAAAAAATTACATATGTATATATATATTGAAGATTCTAACTAACACTGCCTGCTTTGTGATAAAACTTTCACATTTTTTATGCTGATGTCAAGTATTAACTACCACAGAATTGGAAAAGATATATTTGGTTTAGCCAGTTTAGTAGGTTTAGGTTATTCCTAAATACACAAACCAAGCTAAAAATGTGAAATAATCTGTATGATAAAAAAAAAAGATATCAAGAATAAAATTAGGTCTATGTAGAATCATTATACTCATTATAGTAAAATAATAAACATTAAAAATGAAAGTAGAAATATTAAAAACTAATAAATAATAGATATATTAAATATTATAAAGGTATTCCACTCTGAAGAGTAATATTATTTTTTGTTACCTTGGAGCATTTCACTTACTTATCATCATAAGGTTTTTATTCATTAAAAGAAAACCACTGAAAATAAATGAAATATGATTTAAAAGGAATATATTCAAGTCATCCTTACAAGTGTGTTTTGTAAGTACAAATAACTCACCATTGCAATCTGGACAACATCGATTAGAGCGTTTAATTGGGTGAGAACAGCGAGCATCACACTTTTGTCTATCACAACGAATTTTTCCTTCCAAACAAGTACAAACTTGACAATTATCTCTGGGATGGATCCATCGTCTTCCATGTTCCAAGTGACGTCTCATTTCATCCTCACAACCTAGAATTGTTTAAGTTTGTGATATATTAACTAACCTTCAAACTAAATATAGGCTTATACAAGTCTATTACAAGTGTGGAGCACTTATTCTCTAATTAAAAAATCAAGAAGCAAACCTAGTATACTGATAATGACAGTGTTTTACATAATCCACTAGAAAAAGTGCTAGACTGATGCTCACACATGTAAAAAAAATGTGTAATTAACAAAATATAGTGACAAAACCTGCCTACAAAATTAGGATTAGAAAAACAGAAAAATAAAAATAAAAAAGGTTAATTTATTATGCTTTTCATCACAGTTCAACAATGACAATATAATTTTTAAAAAGTCTTCATATTAATGAATTTTAATTAATGTTAGCCTAAAACAACCTCCACCACACTACTCCCTTTCACATAGATTAGTCTACTACAGCCAAAGAAATACTGCACATTAAAAAACTGCCCAAGAGTCACTGACAAGACTAGTAACACAGGCACACACACATAATTGAAGAACAGTTGTTAAAAAAAGCACTTGTACATCCATTCCATCTTATATGCTGAATAGTGTTCACAGAGAATAACTGAAGTTCCTTGATACCTCTTGAGCTGTATTTTATACTTTGTTAGTGATTTAATAGTAAAAATTCTCATTAATACTTGATTGCTCTCATGTATTATTCACATTATAAGTAATGATTCTTACTAAGCCATGATGTAAACTCTATGAAATAGCTTCTATACAAATTACCTTGTACAAAATCATTTATAACACATTGAAAAATCTAACCTATATAAAAGCCATTGTGTATCATGTCATGTTACTCTTGATTTCTTGAAATAAGAGGAGTCATAAAAGCCAAAATGCATTTATCCAGTTAGAATAGTTTGATTACTGTGTGCCCATTATGATTTTAGTGACAGGGGTGCAAGAGATCTTTGAGGGGTGGGGTGCCATGAAACCTTTTAGGTGTTGCGAGTATTGGTATAATAAGCCTAATGTAGAGACATAGTGTTGGATCACCTAGCCTAGAGCCAAGTGCATAAAATATATTATTAAAGCAAAAATATCGGTTCAATTTTAAACTTAAATTGTTTCTGAATTAAGCTATTTTCTGTTATATCACTAATATTTTTCATAAACAAATTTGAAGCAACAGAGACTAAATTAAGAAATCAACAAATATTTTCCAGTTTTGTTGCCTATACATTTCAATTTATACTTTCAGTTCGTAGACTAACAACAATATTAGATTATACTTTTGTTGCTAGCAACATAACATAAAAGCCATTGTTGGAACGTAGTGTTACCAAAACACACTGGCTTTCCTATATATTAGAAGTTGTTAATTTAAATGATTTTTTACCAATAATTATTCTATGAATATGCCACGAATTTATTTCATGAATGATCTTAATTTGGCTTACAAAGGAATTTACCGACGTTTGACTACCTCGACTGCATTTTTCTGCCTCTCTGTTGGTCAAACTTGATTTCGCAAAATCTATTTCTTTCAGTTAGCTAAGAAATGTGAGGAGAGGGTATACTATGAGGTGGGGGTGGTAATACTTGCCCCATCATTTGTTTGACGGGCTATATGCTAGTTGTATATAAAAAAAGAAATGAACTTTGTTTCATTTTCAAAAGCAAACCAATTTTTTTTTTGTGGTATTTTGATGTTATTTAATTTCAGCCATCCTTGATGTACCTGTTTTCAATAGGTCCACATAAAGTAAACAAAAGTTCAACAAACCATCTCATGATATAGAATTGATATGTCTAAGAATATTAATCTGTACAGTGATTTATATTTTAAAATATAATGATTGAGCTTCATCAATTATAATTCATGTGCTAGGATTCTTGTTATAATTTACAATATAATGTTTTGATCACAACAAAAGTATTGTAAAAGTATGAGTTCCAAATTTAGAAATTTGAGACAAACAAACTGTTCCAAATCTTGAACCTAATGCAGATAAAAAAAATTTATACAATGATACACGTAACTTTGTGGTAAAGACATACATACCTTTACAAACTGGACAGCACTGTCCTTCAGGTATCTCAGTGATTTGACAGGACAAAGGTGGACAGGTATTCTTTAATCTAGAACAAGCAATATTTCCAAGATTGCAGGTACACTTGAGGCAAGGATCATGTGGTGGAGTGAATGTCTGTCCATTCTGAACCACTTGACTTTCATATACACAATCTACGTCCAAAAAACCACAAATTAACTTTCTATGATATATAAAGTCAGAATTTTTAGCTAACAATATGAGTAACATAAACACAATAACAATTAGAAAAATTGTATAAACCTTAAAATATTATGTCATGCAGATAACAAGTATCATGTTCAGATGAAGGTCTTAACTAGTTACTGATAATATTACTTGGTAAAAATATGCTTGGAAATCACTTTCTTCATTCCAATGTACAAAATTACATGTAGTTGGACACATTAGACTGAACTTGAAAAAGTAGTCTTAATGTATTGATTCCTCTCGCATTTTCTCATAAGACATTAAATCTCCTAAAGAATGCGTACCACACTGTACCAAGTTCAGTTATTACTACAACAGTTTAATTTCATGTTTTCCATCTAAATAAAAATGGTTTAGAAGTTTGATTACAGACAATGAATACAGTTACAATTGAAAATAACATCTAATAATTTTTTCTTCCTGTTTTACTGTGCAATAATTAAGGAAAATAATAATTCCAAAAATCTATAAAACCTTATAGCTTAATTCCTTTTTTCTGTAAAGAAATATTATGTAATTGGAATCTAGTAAATTAGGTCAAAATTTCAGAAAATTAAGATGTATTTCGAGTTAAAGAAATTTGGAAAAAAAATCTGATTAAAATGGGTAAACAAATAAAAAGCACAAAGAAAACAGAATATTGAATAAGAGAGTACCATTGCTAAACAATATGGGAGTTGTGTCTTCAAGAACTCACAATGTTGGTATGCAGAGCTGTGTTTCTGTATAACATGTGTAATACTGATATTATCAAGTTAATTGGGTAAAATGTTGTGTGTTTTTTAACTTTTCACTAAATCTCTATTTATTAATTTTGTCAAAATATTATACATTTTAATATTTTTTTCTTTTTTAACAATGTTGGGTTAAGAATCATGTCATAATGTCATTTAAGTCTTAATAGTAAGAACAGTTTGCAATATTTTCACATAAAATTTTGTACTCTTCGCTCATTCATTTGAGAATACCTAGGAGTCATTCTGCAATGTTGAATAAGGCTTTAAATTTTCCATAGTATTTTCCACCTTAGTTTTAAATTTGTGACAATATTTATGTACAAGTTTTTAATAGTGCAAAAGTTTCTAATGCTTACTAAAAATGTCTTAAGATCTGTATATAATATCAACGTAGAAAAAAAAACTGGTTTATGGACAGACACACTAAGACAATGCCTAAAACTAGCAGAACCAAATGAAACAGAAACCTATTAAGAACACTAAAATAATGTACAATAAATGAATGTCACATTAATATGAAAATACTTTGGAGTTTAAACAACTACCAACACAGGATTAAAAACAGAGATCAAGCTTATCATGATTGCTTAATGTCAAAAATACCATCTGTGAATATACTTATCCCTTAATTTTGCAAAATCTATTTTTTCAACACACATTATTTAAAACAAATCAATCTGATATTTGTGAAAATAAAGTAACATAACAAGATAATATTTCATACACAAGAAATTTGTAAATACATCCTATTATGAAACAATATAAACTATTATGTAAACAATAAAATACGTAGCAGTTTCAGTTTTTCTGTGCAGACTATGTATAGTAATTTTGAAGCATGACTGAACCAAACTGTTGAATATGTATAAAAGATTATTCATCAAGGACAGACTGTTTGATAAGTAAAAGTGACAGATTCCAGTTAGCACCAAATAAACTACAGATAGGTAATCATATAGTTACCTATGCAAGGAGAACAACAAGTTTTAGGAGGCTTATATCCATGTATACATTCTGACTGACAAGGTTCTCGGTTATGGCACGTTACCACTCCTTCCTAGAATAAACAAACACAATAAGATATAAAAATTTACCCTTTTTTAAGCAGTTGTTGTATAACTTTGATAATTCACATCAAATAACTTTTTATAGGATATATCTAACTGACGGTTCTTTGAAGGGTTAAAACATTAGAAACATACTAACCATTTTTAGGTGCAGGAGTTAAGGATTATCTAAAATAAACGTTTACACATTGAAAACAGTATACAGTTAGTAACAAATATTATATTAAAATGGAAAGTTAATCACACACACACACACACACATCCATACATACATAAACTCATTTTGTGCAGTGAATTTGATGTGACTGTATAAAAACAGAAAATTGCCAGACAATTTATCATGATCATACAATAAACTGAAATACAATACTAATAAAGTGTTCAGCTGTTTTTTTTTATTTATCTGATAGATTTTTTTAAATCCTTGAAGTACGGTTTCTTCATTTGTTTTTATTTTAATTGTATTTTTGGACCATTACCACAAAAAAAATTTGTGCTTTGTGAGTGCATTATAATAATGACAGTGAAATTCCACTATTCAATTAGAGTAGCCCACGAGTTGACAGCAGGTGATGTTGACTACCTTACCTCAGGTCCTATCATTTCAAAATTAGGGACACCTGGTGCACATAGCTCTCAAGTAGCTCTGCAGGAAATTCACTGAACAGTAAACATAAACAGCAACAATTCACATATTGCTGTAGAAAATTATTGCAGCACATCAAAAGTATGTTTTACCTTATAATAGAGCATATTGTTAAATGCTTAAGTAATTTTGAAAAAAAAAGTTCAAAAATGACCCATAAGCTTCAATGGTTTCAAAAAAGTGTTTTGAAAAATAAAATGCCATTAAATATGCAGAAATTTTTTGGATTTTTATAAAAAAAAGTGATCCATGATGTTATCTAACTTCAGAGTTTTTTTATACATATACCTTAAATTTTCAAAATTATCTCTAACACACTAATTGCTGTATACTTTAATTATTGGTATGTGGCATATTTTACAGACTAAAAATATCATGATGTAATCTTGGAACATTGATGAAAATCAGTCTGTTCTTCCATTATTAAACTCTGTCCCACCAAACATGCTCGCCCCTTTCAGCCATAAGGGCATTATAATGTGACAGTCAATCCCACTATTTGTTGGTAAAAAAGTAGCCTAAGTGTTGGCGGTGGGTGGTGATCACTAGCTGTCTTCCTTTTAACTTTTCACTGCTAAATTAGGGACAGCAAGTCCAGACATCCCTTGTGTAGCTTTGCGCAAAAAATTCAAAACAAAACAAACCAATCCATTATTAAATTTATCTGCTTTCAATCGATTCTTCCATTATTAAATTAAATGTATCTGCTTTCAGTTGATATAAGCAATTAATTTCTATTAGTGACCTAGCTTCATGTATCAAAATTAGAATAATTTGAAAGTACTCTTTTGCATATGAATACAACCTTCAGAGAAAATGGTACAGGCTTTCACCATATAACTTTATTAATATTGTTTTCTTTTAATAAATATCTTATGATTTATGAAGTTATACTTCTATCTATCTATACACACCTCTCTGTCTTTCTCTCATAAATGATATTATAATTTTAAGCAATAATATATTTTTCTAGGAAATTCTAAATTCTGTGCCAATCATGTAACTCTTTTCTAAACTAAATGAAGTAGATAGTTTAAAAAAAAGTTTGTTTTTAATGCACTTACCATACATTTACACACTTCACAATCATTTTCTATTGAGGGCCATTTCTCCCCATGCTGGTGTTCCTGTTCTTTATGTATACAGCCTGTGGAAGTTAGCACATGGTAATTTTTAATTCTAGCTACATTTGAATATTATTCCAATATTTTGAATATTTATTACATTCTTCCTAAAATTACTATCAAAATGAAAGTACAAAATAAAAGTAATAAGAACACCCAACACAAGTTAGCTATCTCAACATGCATGTAAAATTAAACTATTGTAGTTTGAGTTTTGTATGGACTTCTCCAGTCTTTTTTTTTTGGTTTTGACATAATGTTTGGGACTCTTTTCCGAGTTGTCCATCAGGTCAAAATGTCATATCATAATCAATAGAATAGGCAGAAGAAGTCCATGGAAAACTCAACTCATATACTGAGCACACTGCCTGAAACTGCCTTACAACAAAAATTATTGTTTAATAGAAAAATTACACAAGAGAAGCTTCCAAGAAACAAAACTAACTTGGGCACCTCACAGGACAACATTCTCCAGGCAAGGTTATTGGATGAGCACATGACAAGTTCTTCTCTGGGCAAGTCTTTGGCTGACATCTCACTTTCATGTCCTGTGCAATATAATAAGTGTGAAATGCTATAGCTATAAATATATAACATATTTTGATTAATAATACCCAATTATTTTTTTGTTCTGTAGTGTGAATTTTTTACTACTATTTTTCAGGTTTTACCATTTGAAACAGATATTCAAAAAGTACCTATTTTAATGGGCCACCTGACACTTTGCTCTTCATGATTTGCATGTCTTATCCATTAAAATACTCAGTTTACATCAAAGCGAAAGGATCATTTGATTGGTGTACATGTGGATATGCAGTTGTATATCATGTGAGAAAAGTTATGAAGAATATTTACATATTTTTATATTCTTTATATTTAATGTTTGAAATTTATACCAGATATATACGGCCTTTGTAAATAAAAGTTATTCAACATCTGATTAATGAGTCCAGGGAACAGTTTCACTCAAAAATATGCCAAAAATTTTGAATGGCTATCTCCAGCACTTACATAAAATTTCAAGCCCACTCTGAATGCACTAAAAAATATGTTTTTTTTTAATGCATCACTACTTCAGGAACTATGACATTTCAACACTGATGCCTACTGAAAAATGAACATGTCATATTATAGTAAAAAATCTTGATGTTTGACAACCAGCCATAATATCACCTAATTATACAAAGTTGGCATATTTGTGTGTTTCTCTTCTTATACTGAGACTTCATTGCAGATATTTTTGATTTTATTTGAAGCTCAGCGAGAAAGCCTTTTTCTGTATTGTCACATCATTGCTTCAATAAATCAATAAATGTTCAAGGTATAATATTTGAGTTCTCATTGAATATACTAACCAGATAGTGTTGGCATATATTATGTATTCTTGAATGAGTAGATGAAGATGACTGTTCCTGTTTTTTTAATGTTACTAAAATGCTAATGGCACTTCTAATTTCCATTTAAGCATGTATACCTAAGGCATTTGTATATTCTCAAATGAGATACTCATGCATTCAAACCATGTCCAACTTATTCAAATCCACATTACATCTTTGAAGAAACCTGATTTTTAAATCATCCATATACTTACATGTGTAATTGACACCACACATTTTTCTGTGTGGAGGGCCACCAATACAATATGTCCTTGTTCAATCATCTCCAATCCCTTCCTAACAATGTTAAATTTGATGACATAAAGAGGCATTTACATATATATAATTGTATATACAATACAGAAGTAAATGTCTTTCAGCAAAGTGAGCACATATCATTGGGTATATTTTCTGGCATGATTAAGCAATCAATTTCCTGTTTTCATTTCCATTTTACCATATATTTTGCAATTTGAAAACATTGCCGACAATTTCATTTGCATCTTCCTCATTTTCAAGATTATTATCTAAAGACTCTAAATCAGAAAAATCATTTGGAGGACTTCATGTTTCTTCCAATAAATTTGTTAATGAATCAAACAGAAATTCTACTGAGTCTTACTTTCCATAGTACTGCTAAACAATGACTTTGTTCTCTTCTACATCAAAGTTAAATAGCCTCTTAATATTGTCTGACAATCAAGAAATGTGAATTATGTACATTGAAGGAATCAAGTTTTTGTTGGTTTAAAGTGAATATTTCTACAACCTGATTAGATAATATACCATTCAGCTGTAAAGCAGTTAGTAACTTGGTAAGAGAAATTGCATTGTTACCCATGTTGTCATATTACATTAGATGATCCATGAAAATGGCAAAGTGCTCACATCAATACTGTCTTTGCTATCCTGAGTCTCAGTATGTATAAATCTTTTAATCCTTATATATAAACATCAACTTATGCATGGAATCATATTTAACAAGTCTAAGTTCTGATAATATTCGGTACTGTCACTTTTAAAAGGGATAACTCGATTGTGCATGTAATGGTTTTTGGATTCTGAATATAATTACTTCTACAATGGATAGAACTGCCCCCCACTCTTGCTTTGTGTCTTTTGAGAAAATATGATAATAATATGTCATGTCGAACTCTTCTATTTCTGTGCTGTCATCAACCTTGTTTGAGTTCCTGTCATTCAATGTATACACCATTGCCCCATGCAAACTCATTCTTTTTTGTTTCAAAATGATCTACCATTTTTTCTCAAAACTACGATGGAATGAGCTTCATCTTATAATCTATGTTAATAAATGCTTCATGTTATAATCTATGTTAATAAATGCTTAATGTTATAATCTATGTTAATAAATGCTTAATGTTATAATCTATGTTTATAAATGCTTCATCTATTCTATTTTTGCAATTACTGTGCTCATAACATTAACCTTCAATTTGTAAGTATTGATTTGTAACTTGAACTTGATGGCCCATGTATAACTTTATGTCTTTCTTTGCACTTTAGTAGTAAATCATGATCTTGAAATCACATTTCATCTTGTGAAAAAATTTATATAGTTTTGGCATTCTATTCAGTTATGTGGAAGTTGCTGAAAGCCTGTTGCATTAGTGCATCATAATGCAAATTCAATACTGGAACATGACTGTCATATCTAACATGTTGCTTAGCTGTTGATTCAATGTTATCTGCATCATATCAAGGTTATTAATAAATACATTTTGCATTTCAATATCATCAATGATGTTGATTATCCAAGTACTATTCTAAATTGTTCTACAGTAAAATCCTGCTAGCATAATTTATCACAGTATCACAGTTAACAGTATCTCCAGAGCACATGGCAACATGGTGCTGTTCTGTAACTAGTTCTTGATCTTGCAACAGGTTTTGAAATAATATTTTTGCTGATGTAAAAGCCTTTTGATCAAACACAGTATTTCAACTGATCTTTTCAAAAAATGTTTGCACTTGAACATGATTTTATGAGGAACACAATGATGCCAATATCTTCCACTGAAGTTGTGCACTTGGAAGTTATGTTTCTGCTTCACAAATTTCCTTAGTGAGTTTCATTGTCTATGTCACAGTTTTGTTGATCATGTATTGCTACTAAGTTGTCCAGGATAAGCAGAATAACTGATTTCACAAGCTTTACACAAAATGTCTTTCAGATTCAATGCTGTATTTCCTCTGTTTACAATGCTGAGAAAATGACTGGAATTACCACTGACACCAAATAAGAAATGTAAACCATCCACACTTTTGACATTTGTTAACAATGGGCTGTCCACAGCTGTAACATTCAAATCTTAATCTTTTCAATATAATTTGCTTTCTCATTGTAATTAAGTGCTCTTTGTTTTTTCCACCATTATTGTCCACCAGTGGCTCAGTGTTAAGTATCTAGACTTATAACCCTAAAAACCAGATTTTGATGCTTTTGGTGGGCACAGCACAAATAGCCCATTGTGTAGCTTTGTGCTTAACAACACATAAACGAGGAAACCATCATAATCACACCCACAATGAACTAATCCAGACAAATAATACACTTCACTACTTTACATTTGCACCTTAAAGGTACGGTTTATTATGTATACTGCACTAATACTTTATATACAAAAAAAAATACTTTATTATAAAAAAAAAGACTAAAATAGAACATGTAACTTTTGCATATTTTGCTAAAGTTTGTCAGGAAGTCATACAATATTTTGTTGTATATATCTAGTTCTAGGTCACTTCTGAAAGAAAGAAGTTAATTTATCATTTTACTCAAAAAAAAAGACTGGAGGTTAACAAATGGTTAAAAAAATGAATTTCAAAGTTAGATGTTCTGAAACAATGTCATTTTTGCTGTCCTCTCCAATCACAATTCAGGTATTAAATATATCAGAAACACAAGACATAGTTGTTTTTCACAGTTTGTTTAAATTTCATCTATCAATTACAATTTATGAACAAAGATCTATTACTTCACCATGTCTTTATTGATTATTTATGAAAACATTTTTGGTGACTGTAAAGCCACCTACATTGGCAAAACAATATACCAGTTACACTATAAACTATAGAAATATTAACTTTACAAATATCTTGTACATACCTTGCATGAGCAATTCAGGCATGGGTTAAAATTAGGAGAGAAAAAACTTCCATTTCTATATATCCTTCCTTCATATTGACAGCTGTCTAAAGAAATATTCATAACATTTACTAAAATTATTTCATATCATTCTTTATCATTTTCATATTCATATCAAAGCATGAAACATGTTAATGAAAATGGAAAATTACCTTATCTGTTCCAGTTTCCAAATTTGAGACAGTCAAAAACGAAACAAGTTTTCTTTAATGGAATTCTTTTTACACTAATATTTTTACACACTTAAAGCAACAAATAGAAACTTACTTTTTAATACAAATATATAGATTTATGTGCAGCTTTATCATATAATGTAACATTTAAGGAAATATCTATAATTTTATTTTGTGAATGATTTACATGTAAGGTCCTGAGAGTGCAAGGTACATTTTGGTTTTAGAATACTTTTAGAATTATAAAAACATAATTAGTTCTTGCACAGATTCCATAACTTAGGAAACATTTTAAAATATTAAGCAGAGAAATCTGTAAAATTTCTTTAACAAATTAACTTATAGTCTTTTAAAAACAGAAAGCAATTTTTTCCATTTTTTTTAATGTGTTTTTTACAATACTTTATGGCTCTGCCATTATCTAATATTACTACAGATATTTTATCCATATGCCAAATATATTACATACCTCCCACGCACACAGGACAACATTCACCAGGTCTAATTGTTGGCTGAGAGCAGTGAACTCGTGGGCATTTTGTCCTCTCACACTTCACATTACCTCTCTTTGGGAATGCAAAAAAATCATGGAAATTAAAACATTTTGACAGGTCATTAAATGGTATTCACTTAATTTTCTCTCCATCAGCTACCAACTTTTATTTTTGTGTCAGAGTAGTTAATAAATAAACGATTTTTTTATTATTGATAAATCAACAATAAAAACTTAAAGTAATTTATAATGTAAATGTACTGAAATTATGATTCATTACCCCTTTTGGGGCCATGGAAGGCTTTGAAGAAAAAAGTTGTTACTAAGAAATTGAAAAAATGGAATAAGTAAGTCTCTATCATTTCATATTTTCATGAAAAATTAAACAAGAGCTATCTGTGCAAGCCATCCCTAATTTTGAGCTGACAAACTACAAAGAAGGAAGCTAGCCAACCACACCAAATACAAACTCTTGGACTTGTATTCTGTGACTTAATAGTATAATTTGATTATCTCTCTTAAAGTGTACCCACAGATCCAAAGTATGTAGCACATTTTTGTTGGCAAAAGGATGCAAACAATAAATCCTTGGATTTATAGTTGAGACATGCTAACCACTTGCCATGGCCAGTCCTTTTTCCTTTTATTTTGTACTCTACTCAGTTTAGATTGGGTGTTTTAATGTTATGGAATAATTTTAAAATAAACTATGTTTTGAACCACATTATTGTAATAGCACACTTGTTTTAAATGGTTGTTATTCTCTGTTGATTTTTAGTTATACCTGATATATGGGGGTCTTGGAATGTTCACCCTAAAAAAAAGGAGGTAGGTGTTCCCGGACTGAAAAAGTTTGAGAACTCTGGTTCTATTTCTTACTCTACAAGTTGTTTAAAAAATTTTAACTCTCAAATTTACCTTCTTTATCAAGGATGAATTTAGATTGAGGTGCATCAACTATGTACCTTCCCCCATAAACCATGTGAACTTTTGACTTGTGAATTACTTAAGTTCAGATAAAGCATCTAAAATAACACAAGTCTCAGACATGATTTTATTTTGTCTGATCAATTCATTGTAATACAGTGACTCATTGAATGGCCATCATCAGTGATTGAACATCAACACAGAATAATCATTATAATGGAATCATAGCTCACAGTACACTCATACTGTAATTATTACACTGGAGTCAAACAATGGAATTATGAATGGGGTGCTTTAGCATATTCTATTGTTCATATACAGAGTTATAGAACAAAATAAAATCACATTTTCAGAGCATGTATAATTTCAACGTAACTAATGACATATTTTGTGAATACACTTCTCAGGTACGTTTTATCTTGTGCTCCACTGATTTTGTTTGTTTGATATGTACAAAACATACTTTGTGCTGGAAATACTTGCTATTCATCTGGTGCACCATGATTTATGTTATCCTGAATGTTATATTTAATTCACTAGTATTAATTTCCATGTTTAAACATCATAAAACCTCTCTTAACTTACTTGATGGAACATCAGTGTGTTTTTCTTTAATTTTTAGATAGGAGAAGGGTAGTTTATCAAAACCCTGTAAGTTAGCTCTATCAAATACTTGAGACACAGCTATATTTTAATGAAATTACCAACAAATACATTTTCAAATTATGAAATAGGTTTGGAAAGGTGGTGATGGGTAAAATGTATAATTTTCATTTCATGCTCAAAATCTTGTGGCCTATGTTTCACTGTCGTTGTTAATTTTAATCAAATTTAATTTAATTCTTTTGTTTCTATAATTTGTTTTATTCCATTTAACTTAAAAGTTAGCTTTAAAGTAAAAACTCTGCAGGTTTATTGTTTGTGACATAAATTTTTTCTACATAAAATCATATGATATCACTGTTAGAGGATAGTGTTATGACTAACCACTGCTTTCACTCCTTTCAGATCTAAGTGGCTAAAATGTCTTCCAAATGTTAAATTTAATGCACCAAGTAATGATGGCAGAATGTTTTCAGTAACATGTGCCCCCTTTCCATTCCAAAAAAATGAATATATCTGATTAATCATTATTGCAATATAATTTTGAATTATTAATGTGTAACATACCTTACACTCACAGTCACTGCAAGAAGATCTGAATCTTTCACCTTCTGTGTAAATATTGCCTTCAAACAGACAACCTACATGTATAGATACATTAATTTGGTGAAAAACAGCAACAAAAACATGTAATTTTTCTAAGAGTTGCATGATATAATTGTCCAAGCAAACATAGAATAATATGCACTCTATATATAAAATATTTCAGGAAGAGCAGAGCTTAGCTAGTACAAATTCCTTTAGAAAAATATATGTAAGCATTTTATTTGCTTTATGACAAGATAGTCAGAACACATATCTTCTAACCAGATATTCATAACATGTTTCAGAACTTATGTAATTATTAATGTGAAATTTCTACAAAAAATGTTAGTTTCAATTGATTTAAAACACATTTTAAACTGAATGCATTTCTTTCAGTATTTTTAACATACATTTTGGGACAACATGGGATCTACTGACCCATCTCGGCCATTCCATCCTCTAACCCAAACTAAAACTATTCATAAATAAGTTTAAAAAAAACTTAAAGCCAGCCCTTATCATTCATATACTTATCAATCTTTCAGGGATAAAACAATTTTTACTATATTTACCATATTTTACTGTATGGTCCACACACAAAACATTTCAATACTTTAAATATATGCAGCTTACAGGCAGTTCTGGAATTAGTTTTATGTAAGTAAATTCATTCAATTGAGTAGTACAGAACACTGCATAATGTTTAACACTAAAACAAAAAAATCTTCCTGAAACATCAGTGACAAAGTATACAGCACTTGAAACTCTCATTTATTTTCTTTATTCAGCTCACACTGTTTCACTTTTATTACTTTCATTTTTAAGTTTCTGTAAAGTACAGTCATTTATATAACAAATATAGCTTTAATAATTTCAGCTAAAGCTTATGAAGGTTTACTTTCTGGCTGCATAACATTATACTACTGCTTTAATAAGTTTGAAACTTAGTTCATTTTCCCCCTAATATATACCTTAAATTTAAATATATTTTGCATTCATCAATCACAAAAGTACAAGAAAGTCTTCCTAATAAGATAGGAATAGTCTATAGAATAAATTACTGGAACCCTGTTTGAGAGAAATGGTTGGTGCATAGCAAGAAGGCATAATCTGGAAGGTTTTTACTATCAGACATTTTGACTTTAATATTATGTTATGGTGACATTTTAGAGCATTTGGATGTTCCTTCTACATCCTGAAAGGTCGTCATAACATAAAATTCAAAGTAAATGTTCAATAATAAAAAAACCTTAGATACTGGATCCCTATTTTGAGTGTTTTCCTTTTATATGTAAATAGAAACCTTTATTATCTGTGCACAAACTGTAACAGTAACAAGAAGAATGTCACATCCACAAGGACAATTGTCAATACAATTTTTATTTTGAATACAGTCTTTCAAAATTTCTCTTTTACTAATATAGATGTACCACCTGAACAGATTTTATAGTTATATATTGTAGTTAGATCAGATCCTGTTATCAAATAAGAAAGGTTTTCAACCCTCTGTGTGTTTGTAAGCAAGATTTCTTAAAAACAGTTGAATGGATTTGAACAAAAGTTAGGTATATATTTGGACTATGGCCCAACTTAGAAGTGGTTAGTTTTTGGCGGATCAAGAAAGGTCACGAAAATTCAAAAAATCCATATCTGTTAACTTGGAGACCAATTTTTTTGGCACTATTTTTGCTCTATAACTCAGTCAAAAATGATTGGATTTTGATGAAACTTGGTGGATATATGTAAAATATTATTCTTCATTATCTTGCCAAAAATGGTCCATATCTGTTGATAATAACAGACATGCGGACACATTTGCGTATTTTTTGAGAGCCGAATATGATCAATTCTGTGTGGCAGAGGTATGTGCTCTACTAAGTGTGTCAAAATAAAGAGTCTTATTGTTCTTAATATTATGTATAGTAGTAGTAGTAGTATTTAGTAAATAGGTTGAATAATATGGGTGTTGGGCTAAGTAGGTATCTGTGACTTGTTGGCGATAAATTCAAAAATAAATGAACAGCACACACTCTCCGCTTGTTTTAAAATAATATATTCAAAACAATTTAAATGTATGTACAAAAATTCTTTACACTATGTATATCATAGTTGTATGTTAAATACTATACATAGTTTACTTCTATTTGTCAAAAGTCCACTTAGACCTATTCAATTGCTTTAGAATTTCAGTTGACAAGCCGAACTACCTTTCTATATTTCTATCACACTAGTATTCTCTGAATAATTCACTTACAATTATAGAGTGAGTTACCACAGTCATATACTGCACTTCCAGTAATCGTCTGGTCCTCGTACTTCAGATATCATCTGTTCCGTTTGTCAAAGTGCACTCAGGCTGGTTCAATTATGGAATAAACTATACTTCTTATTTCTTTTAAAACTGTTAGTTTTCCTCTAACATATTAATCATTAGGCCTTTCATTGCTATGGTAGTTAACTTTACGTTTAACTTTCTTTGGCCAAACTTCTACGTCCCATGACTTTACTTTATCATCTGCTCTGTCTGTCTGCTGTTCCTGCTTATCTCACGCTATTTATATATTGAACTCTTAATTGTCTGTTTGCCTTCTAGAAATCTCTATATCCTCGACAGCAATAAATCTCATGGGACATTTGATAGCCTCAACATCAATAAATTATAAATACAACTTCCAATAATCGTCTCCTTTAAACTCTCTTATTATAAAAAAAACTAAACAATCATGAAATATTAACTCACAAGATAATGAATTAAGAATACCTACACTAAACAGTGTTTTATATCATGATAGAGTGACCCTCTGGTTTAAAATAAGACTAATGAAACAAACATACAAAAACATTGTGTAATATACCATATTTATTATTCAGTCATTGACATAAGTATATGTATGTGTGTGTGTGTGTGTGTCTATAGATATATACATATATGTATATGCAACTTTTGTAGCTGTTGTTTCCAAGATCACAACATAACAATGTTCAATGATAAATACACAATGTCATATTTATTTAAAGGTGTATCATCATTCTTAATGAACTAAATGTCTTTACACTATAAACTGTATTATAATCACATCAGAATACATTGGTCAGGAACTCTGCCTTCGATTCCCATTCTATCATACCATGTCTACATGTTAGAAAATATTACCCAACCTAAATGTCACATGATCCTATTAAAGAGTTTCTAATAAACTATGTCTAATATGTCTAAAATTTTACATCAAGAGTGAGGAAAAAAACACTAGAATTGTATTAAAGAAATGAATTCACAATGTAAAATATTTGCCTTGACCATAACTCAAGACCAGGACCTTCAACTGACTGCATCATTTCTCTGGTCATAAGTTCTTTAGAATTCACTATCAATGTGAAAATATATTCTTTGGTAAAACCTAGACTTATTGTAATATAAATTATTCTAAATTTATATTATTGTATCAAACAATCACTAAGTATAAAAAAATTGTGCTTCTAAGATATTACAAAGTACAACATACCACTGCATTCTTTACAGCATCCACCAGGGGGTGTCCAAGGATGAGAACAGAATGGTGAGGGACATCTCATCTGTTCACATTCTACTTTTCCCACCTTCAGGAAAATCAATAAATTAAAAAAAAAACATAAATTATCAATGTAAAGAAAATATGTTCTATCTTTACCTAATCAGTTTGGTTTATATTTTGACAAAAAATAACAACAGACATCAGTAAAATAGCTGATCCTCCCAACCATTAGTTTTTTTATGTTTTATTTTGTTGTGTTTATAAGTATGAGTTTATGTGTATTTGTGTGTATTTTTTTTGGTTATGTTTTTCTTTGCATTGAAACCAAATTTTTTTTTTTTTCCAATGGTGACTCTGATCTTTGATCTTTTAACCCTTAAAATCAATAGGATTCTTCCCCATCTTCAAGAAAAGTGAGTTGTAAAGTTTGATTAAAGTAGAA